TGAAAGTCCAGTTTTATAGGTATTTATTCAGGTTTAACAATAATATTATGATCTTTAAAATGTAAACGGTGTAAATATAAATAACTATTAAAAGGTTCAAAAAAAATAAGAAGAGATTTGTTCACTACCGCGATCGGGCAGGAAGTGACGATGGAACAAAACAAAATCAGAATGTGAGTGAAAGAATGGAAAAATTCAAAATTTGAATTTCAATACGAATGTGAGAATAAAATAAGAAATTTAAATGAAAAGGTGGGATGACGATGCAAGGAGGTCAAACCGTCACAAACTTAGACATCGCTAAGGCTTTTGATCGGGTCCGCCACAAGGCACTTCTATCGAAGCTAAAGAAAGCGCTGTGCACTTGGATCGCCAGCTTCCTTTCCGAGCGGAGCTTGAAAGTCTATGTAGACGGATTGTGCTTGGACACCATGCTCATTAACGCCGACGTTCCGCAAGGATCTGTGCTGTCGCCAACCTTGTTCATGTTGCATATCAATGATATGTTATGTAACTAGTAACATTCATTGCTATACGGATAACAGTACCAGTGATGCCTATTATACGGGTCGCACTAATATATACCAGCAAGAGGAACAAAACAGATTGCAATTTGTGTCGAAATTCGAGACTTCTGTAGCAGATCTCAGAATGGGGCCGATAGAATCTTATCAAATTTAACCCCGCAAAGACATAAGTGTACGCGTTCACCGCTAATTTGTAATAGCGCCAAAGTTCCAATACACCTTTATCCTTTTGGCCTTACCATATCTAAGAGTATTGGGAAACTTGGACTCGACATCACGAACGAAGTCCAGTACCGGGGTCATTTGGAGAGCAAAGTCAAACTGGCTTCCAAAAAGCTCGGAGTGCTGAATAGAGCGAAGCAGTATTTCTCACCAGGTCACCGACTTTTGTTGTGTAAAACACAAGTACGGTCCCATATCGATGCGTTACTTTCTCAAACTCGTATCTTATAAAGAGTGATTATTCAGGAGATGGCAAAACTTTCTATTTATTTATATTTCACATCAATGGCACTAATTTGGATGCATTACTTTAAGAACAGATAAAAGCCAGTGCGTGAATATGAAGGAAATGTGATGGGAAATCGGCCTGCAGAACTTGTATATTCAATCCATTTTTCCCATTACAGTAACTTTGTGGTTTAAAATACGACTTAAGGCGACGGTATGGAGTATTGCTCGCATCTCTTGGCAGGATCTCCAAGTATTTACTAGCTTGACCCACTTGACTCCGTCTAACGTAGGGCTGTTCCTATTGTCGATGATCACAAACTCGCAGACGGTATGGAGCCCCTTAGCCTATGGAGAGACGTTGGCTCTCTGTGCGTGTTTTATTGTCTTTTTAATGGGGAGTGCTCTGAGGAACTTTTCGAACTGGTCCCACCGTCTCGTTTTCACCATCACACCTCCCGCCAAAGGAGTAGAGTCCATCCCCACATTTTAGATGCCTGGCATCTCGTTCGTTCCTTCCTCGAACCAGCAAAGTGTGGAATGATCATCCCCCTGAAGTATTTCCTTCGCACTATGACAAGGGGTTCTTCAAAAAGCTTGTTTACAGGGCTCTCAAAGGCTGGCAACGCATAGGCTGCTCATCTGATGTTGCAAATGTCCTTGGTATGCAATGACCACCTCCCACCAAGTGGCTCGTCTGCTTGTTTGCTTCCTTCTTTACATAAATATGAATATATATAAATATCTTTTTATATATATATTATATACACAAACTCTTTCACCTTTTGTACCCTCTCGCTACCAATCTTGCCCCCATTTTTCCACTTTTATCTCTTTAAATTACCATCACCATTGAAATAAATATCATATTGAAATAAGCCAATTAAGCTTCAGTTTTCGCAATAAATGTCTCGAAAGGTGCGCCATTAGCCTAATTCTTATTTTAACAGTAAAGGGATTATTGTCATCGCCCAATCCTCTATTTCAGAATCTATATCATTTTCCTGTCTGTCCATATCATCGACAAAATTTAAAGTATTTACATTTTTCAAACAAGTTGTAGGTATGTGTTAAGAGTACTCAAACTAAATCTATTCAAACTACGTTGAAAGATATATGTTGTAATTTACATTTAGGGTTTATGTGTGATAACATATTTTTGCGAAATTCGCCTATGAGACGAATCAGATTTTGTGAAAACAATTTTTTGATTTAACAATTAATACGATTTTTTCAAAATATATTACTGAAACTAATATTAAACTTTATATTACAAAGTATAAGACTGCATTCATAATTCATTTTACGATTTTCTGTGGGTTAACACATTTATGCAGAACACGGCCCAAATTAAGCTAAATCTTAGTTAATTACTTCGTTATTTAATAAGCGTAAACTAACCATTAGTTAGAGCTACAGTTGCTGGCTAAACACAGGTATCTTACCTACATAGTTGTTTTATTCGCAATATACCATTCTCTTTGCCTTTTACAGGAAAGCAGTAACTCTCAAGAAGGTGAACAGCAAATATGTGCTAAAATCCACCCTAACGCCTCGACTAGCAAGAAAAGAGCTCCAAAAAGAACTTCAAGACTCGTCACCGCAGCTCTCGAAATCGCGGTCGTGTACCTCGCTTAACCAGGAGACCAGCTCCGACCCTGCCGGTCCAGCTGGATACAATAATTACCTTACAGTGCACGTAAGTGTTATGTTTTACTGACCAAACAATAAATTGCGACTTCTATGTAATACTGAATGTTACGCTCATTACCTACGTCTGTGACAAAATTTTTAGATCGAGGCCTTAACGTAAACGTGCAAATTGTACTAACGTTTCTCTTCCTCCAAAAGATGAGGTAATAGGGAGTCATCGTATTTCTTATAAAGGTAATCTATAATGTCGTGTTCTCAAGATTTCACAACTGTTAAATTAGTTTTTTTCCGCCTTTTGGATTTGGAGCAACGTAGCGACATCTCTTGAAAATCTTTGAAACTAATTTGTTTGTCTGTTTTATCGACTGAGAAAGTATAGTGTTAAACTCTTTACATTATGAGTTAGGCCTCAGCTTGTATGGAAAACACGCGCCGTTGAACACACTGACAACGCTTCTCCGCGCGCGGTTTTACGCGGTATCACGCGCGCTGTGCGAAAGACGCAGATCTGCGTTAACGCGCGTTTTAATCTGCGCGGGGACAGCGGTCTAGCGGCCCCGCGCCACTTAAAGTTCTCTCTTCGTAGTTGATCGCCATTGTGATTGTACATGTAGCTGAGATCCTTCTTTGACTGGAATGGTAAATAATTCATCAAGACGCTGCAGTTATATTGTCTATTTGGTTTTTGTTTATTCAAAAAAAACGACACCGAACTTCACCGAAGGTGACATTCAACTTCATTACAAAGATTTAAGAAAATATGAAGATTAATTTTTCAACTACACACGTATATCAACTGAATCCTTTGATTATTTGCTAGGGAAAATCCGAACGACAATTACTGGAATAGACACGAATTGATTAAAAATCTGCGCGGTATTTTTGCCGCCAAGCAGTAATGTGAGCGTTACTGCGTTCCGGTTTTGAAGGGTAAGGGTGCTGGTGAAATTACAGGCACATGGGACTTGTCAATTTATGTCTCAGGGTGACGGGCGCAGTGGCAGTGCCCCTTCGGTCTTTGTTGTTTAAAGCTCTGAGTGGTACTGCACCTGTTCTGAACAGGCGTGTCGCTTACCACCAGGCCTACGACTTGTTCGTCCCGTCACTTGGTATAATAAAAAATATATATTTTCAGTTTAAAAGTAAATAAGCATATCTGTTTGTTTACAGAGTTTCCCGTCTGCACTCAATCTGCCGATAATCACAACTCAAAGTTACGACGACCAGACTGGGCGTGCTCCTACAAGCCCCGGCAGCGATGGCTCCGACGAACCTCCGAAGCCACATACGTGGACCACCATGACCCCCCAGGAAATTGCAACTTGGATCGACAAACGTTCTCGCGTTCTTTTCCCTTGCATGTTCATTTGTTTCAATCTCATTTATTGGACATTCGTTTACTGTCTGTGATTCAAGTAAAAAATAGGTATTCATGTCCTAATTAAGGCTTGAGTTGAGCAGGGCGAATCAGATTCAAATTCAGAGGCAGGCATCAAGTTCTTTACTCGAAGAAGCCTAGAATTGCGGCAATAGACGTTTATTCGACTGTTCCTTTTAATCAATCACAGGAAAAGTCGTGAGCTCTATGGTCCAAAACTGTAGGTTCTCGAACAACATAAATATACGTTTAAATACGCATTGCTTTAAGTCTGCTAATCGCGATCTCTCATCTGTACAATCTGTTCTCCCAGCTCTGCTGGCACTGCAATTGCTGTCCACGACATACAATCTTTGTCATCATACAAAGTCAATCATACAAAGTTTTCTGTTAAATATTTTTTATTCTATCGCCCATCGCGCCAATTTTTTGAAAGGTTGTACTGCTGGATCAAGATTTAAATTTAAAGTTAAAAAATGGATTTTTGATAAAAATGCTTTGAAGAGAAAAATAAAAAATGAAATTAAACAATTGTGAATTAACAAAAGAAACGTTAAAAAGTTAATAATAGAATAAAAAAGTATTTAATTGAAAAATATTATACGGATATGTCGTTGACAATTGCTGTGTCAACGACATACTCTCAATAGTCAGGCAAGCCTCAGACAAAGCGTGGATTAATTGTGAATAACCAGGTCGTACCTTGCTATTAACGCTAAGACAAAACTGTCATTAGACGCTATGTTGCTCGTAACGGACTCTGTCCTGAATTGTGAACACAATTAAGATTGTGACAAGTCTCATGTTCTGGAACTGTCCTATCGCAAAGTGGGTAGCCTTCTTTATATCCGAGTCATTTTGTAAAGTCATATAGCAGCTATTAAGTTTACTTAAAACTTAGTCATATGAATATGTGAATGTATGTGTAATTTTTCGCCGGGAATAAGTGCGTTTACGTATTTGAGAAAATCCTGATTATGTGGCCATATTATTTATGTATACGGAAACGATTAATTATAAGTAATAGTGTATTGTTACACGGGCTGTAAGTGAACAGGGGTACAGATTCAAGCACGAATCGAAGGCTTTGATGGTTTTAATAATTAACAAAAAATGGCCCAAACCTTTATAATTTCTGTTCCGCCCGTGTGACATACAATGTTTATCATCGCACTTACTAGAAAGACAAATTAAAACTTTTTAATAAAATAATCTCAGTACAGAGTACTAAAATAATCCACCTCAAAAGTACGTGGAATTACATATAATTACTGTTTTATTGAAATCGGTTACCGGAAAGTGCGCAAACCCGGATTCATCCCCTAGTTCGCCACTATACGGGACTTGACATATGAGATAATAAAATTCTCACTACTCAAAGTATATTGAGAGAGAAAAACGCCTTGAATTGGAGAATAGCAAAATCAACCATTAAAATAATTCCTTCTTATAATAAAATTTAGGCGCTATTTATAAAAATAAATCTTCATGCGTGAACAGCCACCATTAGAGGTGGATGATTTTCTTCAAAATTAAATGGGACCACTATGGAGGTAACTTCTTTCCAACAAAAAAAGAATCATGAAAATCGGTTCACAAATACCGGAGTTATCGCGTAACATACATTCCAAAAAAAAACATACAGTCGAATTGAAAACCTCCTCCTTTTTTGAAGTCGGTTAAAAAACCCGACCTCAAAAGTTCGGGGAATTACATCTATTTGCCAAGTTTTATTGAAATCGGTTACCAGAAAGTGCGTGAAACCGAATTCATCCCATAATTTACCACTATTAGAGATGAAATATTTTCTTCAAATTTAAATGGGACCAATAGTGAGATATCCTCTTTCCAACAAACAAAGAATTATCAAAATCGGTTCACAAGTAGTAAAGTAATTATATAACACCAAAAAAAATCTTTTTTGTAATTATATGTAAGTTGCTCATATTATATTTACAAACTTTTAAGTATCTCACAAATAAATATTATACAAAAAATTATATAAGAAAGAAGAGGCTTTACGTATGAATAGAACATAAAATCTCTTTATTTTATAAATTTTATCATTTATAATTTAATAAAATAAATTTTATAATTTATAAAATAAAGAGATTTTATATTTATGAGTATGTATCTTATAAAAGATATAAATGAAAAACAGCCGACTGTTTTATATTAGTTTCTATAAATTAATTCTAGTTTACACTAAATAAATAAAATACCACCTAGTTTTGCAAAAACGAGCAAGTGTAATGAAAAATATATTTGATTACGAGGAGTAGTCTTTTTGGGTGCTTTAAATATTTTGTGTAAGAGGAAATCGTTATTCGGTAGATTGTTTCCCATAGTCCTACATACGCAATGTTTAGAAACAGTTTACTTGAAATACATTAGAGTAAGGTGAAGCTTGTATAAAATATAAGTGGCTTAAAATAATAAAAAAAAATATTTTTATCTATATATTAAATATATTTTTACATGCATGGAATAGTTATTCCTTTTTTCGCTATTTTAAAGTCGTTTGAAGGATTTTGTTTTGATAAGAAGAAGTGGGTAGCAGATCAGGAAATCACTTGAAGTCTTCCTATATTATAAATGCGCGTGTAACATGAAAATAAGCAAGTTCCTTTAGTTTGTAGCTTGCCTTCGCTTTCGTAGGGTCGCTTTCTAGGAAAGTATTAGTGAATTCTTAGGTAAATATAATACCAGTTACCATTCTTACATAACCGTCCAAAAAATTATTATATATAACTATTTAAGGTATTTTTATATAAATGTAGCCAGTGAGATTATTTAATATGAATAAGAAGAGAAAACACCTAGAGGAAGTAAAATTAAAAATTGTAAATTTAAAAATTATTTATAAAAAATAAATTATAAGTACATTGTATGCAAGTCGTAGGTTTATGAACTGTTTGTACAAAGAGCCTAATAATAAAACATATCGAATGGAAGTAAAAAATTGTGGTTTTTCTTCGGGTTAAAGTTTAAAATTGTCAATAAATTAGAAAATATATTTTATAAAATAATACCCACTATATCCTCTTACAACCCTCCAAGTAAACTACAGGGCAAAACAGTGGCGTAGCGTGAGGGGCGCGGAAGGGGCCAAGGTTAGCCCCAACTAGCCGAAATTATTTTCTTTCCGATATTTTCTCCGTCCGAAGCAATTGCTGTCAAATAAGTAATACTCGAAAAAAATTAAAAGACAATATCAAGTATGAAGCCTCATTCGCATCATGCGTCTTTAACTTGGTCGAGTATTACTCATTTCACAGTAATTGTTCCGGACGTATGTCGAATGGAGAACGGGAGTTGACCCCCTGCTCCCGGCGATCTTGTCGTCACGTGTCGTCGCATCCGCATAAACTATGCACCGATTGATTCGGATGTCGGATGCGGAAACAGATAATTAAAAACATGCGAATGATCCGCAGTTGCGGATGCCGATGCAGACAGTTTCAACCCGTACCCGTACCCGTGCTGCCCACGGGTCTTCTCGAGGAAAACGATTAGGAGTATCTTCATAGATTATAGAATAAATAAAATACTGAGTATTACACGAATCACATTTATTTAAATACAAAAATACGTAGATACATTGTAACGCACAATAAAAAAAATATTTGCAACTTTTATAAAAATAATATCTCAAAATTACGTAGAAATGAAAACATTACGGAGAAATTAACAATGGAAGTCAAAATCAAGAACAAAAACTTCCTTATCGTACAAAGTTTTGAACTCGGACATAAGTTACTTAGGCACTTCAAAAATAAGTAATCAAACAAAACAAAGTTATTCTAACTCTACTTAAATATATTAAAATACATAAATCGTTGTGTATTATTTCCTACTTCATAAATATTTTCTCTCTTGAAATCAACAAACTATTATTATTACGTATATATGCATCAAGCTTTGTATATAAAATTTCTTTAAACCCTAATGAGCTTCCGTTAACAACGTTGCCCAGTTACAATCGAGGAGAAACTTTATAATATATTTTATTTAAATGAAGAAAACACGGCGTACTATGAAAGCAAACTTCTGGAACAATGTTTTATAAGTGAATATTAAGTCATTTACAAAAGCTGTTATTGTTAACATTTCCTGACTCTCGAAGAACACAAATGTATTGAAGATTTACGTAGTTAATAGGAAAGAAATAAATGCCAGCTCTTTGTGAGGCAGAATGTCATGTGTCCAGGGGCCCAAGTCTGCTGATTTTAAATCATCGCAGTTGTGTGTCGTTATTAGTATTAGATTTATAAGTAGTGTCGTGTCCGTGGCTAGTCATCGAGCTACTACTATATTGCCATTGCAAGTTTTAGGTATACTGCTCTTCCGTGGCCAGACAATGGCGTAGTCTACCATATAACGTTTCGATGGCTGCCTGCTATCAAACGGCCTCTGTCTCTAATAAGTAAATATTTATTTAGACAAACACTGGAATTTTCACAATGACAATAGTCTGAAAAGTTTGGAAATCCATTAATTCATTCTAGGTTTGTAAAAATGCGACCAGCAGGCTGATTTTGATTCAAATCGGAAAAGATCCGACCGCGTAGTCTCCAAATCAGATGGGTTTCTGAGCGAGAAGATGAACCTGATTCCTACTATAGCTTTCTAATTTGTGAGTTAAATAAACTATTGTTCCGATTACAAATGTCGAAGTTTCCGATCGGCCAGTTGTGAATCGAAATTATGCGCCTCGACTCGGAAAAGACGCAGTTTCCGATCGGGAGAGGCAATCAAAATCAAGCTGCATTTGTTTGTCAATACTTCAAGTACATTTACATCTGGCTCATGTAGTTGTTCGTTGCCGTGGGCTGAGGGTTAAGCGACACGAATTTCGTGAGAACTATAAGAGAACTAGATGTTGACTTCGATGATGTCCCTGATAGATAATTTTTAAAGACTTATCGCCTTGGAAAGGAAACTGTCAGAAAGCTGATAAGTAAAATCACCAGGTTCGCGCCAGGACCACGAAGAGCTGATGCCGTTTGAAAACTAAATTGCTGATTCATTATGCCGGATTTACATTTGTCCGAAGTGTCGTGTCGTGACGCGTCAGAACGTTATCGGTTTCATAAACACAACACGAGCCGTCACGTCAGTTTGCCACACACTAATATAAATCTAACCTTTAAACTTTATTGAGTCAATACAATTGCATGCTATCTTAAAATTAGGTGACATTATTACACAACGAACATATTAAGATAAGGTTGAACTTTAGCGTCCTTACTAATTTTAAATAAAACTATATGACAGACGCTACGTCTTCCTCTGGATTTAGTTACAAACATTATAATGCCTAACATTCTACACGATAAAAGAGTACAAGCAAAAGTTTGACAATGAAATAAGAAAAACAATTTTTAAACTATGTCGGTTTGTGAAAGTAAGTGCGTGTGTGTTTGTGCGTTGTTTGACCATAGTAAATGTATGAAACTGATACCGTTCTGATGCGTCACGACACGACACGTCAGATAAATGTAAATCCGGCTGAGATACAAATTAAGATGAACATAATAATTATCATAGTAGATTCATCAACGTCGGTCGTTAGTAATTGAATGAATAAATGAATGAATCTGCCGTTCTACTGAATTCTATTGAGACTCAACTGGCATTGTAACCAGATTTTCTCAGGATAACAAATATTATAAATAGAATGACATATATCATATTCGCAGTACAATCTCAGAGTCTCTATGGACTTACAACGATCAAGAAAATTAGCAGAATTTGGGCCAAGTAGGATTAAAACATCGAGTAGATAACCATAAATAGAGACGAAATAAAGGCCATCCATTCCTGGCAACTTATCGAGCCAACATGTCTTATTTCACTTTTAAATATCAACTCTCGTTTGCGCTGAAATCACAAATTAGAAAACTGAAACAGTATAGCGCCAACAACTGACCTGTGTATATACACAGATAAGTGTATTTTGGAATATTCCAAAAATATTCTGTATTTCTTGCAATAAAGATAATATTTCTAACAATGCATGGGGGCTGTTCCATTCGGTGGTGTGGGAAAAACAGCAAGACATCTAATTACAAAACAAACGGACTCAAATTTCATCGGTAATTAAATATTAAATATGTCATTTTGCATCATAACAAAGCTCAAGTTAATCAAGTTGGTCAATTTGAAGTGCAAACAATTGACGACACCCGTCAATAATCGAATTCGGGCTGGCCAATCGGAGCGCAGTTGTCACAGCAATGATCTGGCAGAATAGTTTTCAAACAAATCAAAATAACATTTCGTCTCTGTATCTGGTTATATACTTGTGGGTTAAAAAAGTACAACACGTGACGACATAAATATATAGAGAATTTATATAATAGTATACATATAACTTACGTTGTTTTTCTACTACAATCACAAGCTCTACTTTGGAAAACAACACATATCGATTACGTGATCCTCTTCACACGACACGTTACGAAGACATCGACAAGACAATTCTTAACCGAAGGGGCAACTGAAAATCTATTTTAAATAAACACACATTGACGATGAAGTAACAAGATCCTTTACCTAAAAATTAATAACAACAATAAAATTAATTAACCCATAATTAATGCGTCTTTAAACGCAATTTTAATCATTTCACAGATTGACAACAATATCTGTATATAACTATAAACAAACAACTATATTAGACAACATCACATATATTGCTCTGATCCCAAAGCAAGTAGCTAAAGCACTTGTGTTATGGAAATCGGAAACAACGAACGGTACCACAAACACCCAGACCCGAGACAATATAGAAAAGTTAATTTTCTACACTGATCCGGCCGGTCAGAGAGGGAGACATCATGAAAACCGATGTGCAAGACACGACCACGGAGGTCGTGTATACATGGTTATTTGTAAAATAAAACCTCTTCTATAAGTTCTACCTCTCAGGACTATAGGTATTACCAACATCCTAAACAGCAACTTTTGTGCCATGACTTTTAACAAAACATAATAAAACCAAAAACAAACTTTTTAGTTTAAATTAATAAGTAACGGTAAGAAGTTTACATTGCAGGAGCGGAAGTGGAGACGTTAAGGAGGGCCTTAACGTTCTCCGCCTCCGCTCCTGCGTTTTGCAACGGACGGGTGTTTACGCTAGCGCTTTATTTTGTTACCGCTGAGTTATTACCGTTTAGAGCGATCTATTTAAATATTTTTATTTTTAACAAAAGTAAAATATAATCAATTATTATAAGGCATGGAACAAAAGTTGTTATTTATGATATTTTTATAACTTTATAAAAAGCATTGTTGCAAGTTGTCCAGGACGTTAGCTAATCTGGTGGAGGTTCTTAATATTTTACAAACTCTAACGGTACGTAATAGAGTAACAGAAAAAAAATTCGTTCGTTATTTTACCGCCAAACAAGTTTTTCATTAAAATTTCTGAACGTGTTTTTGTAGATTATTGTCACTTCATCGTTGATGTCCAGAAAAGTTGAATTTGGAACAAAATTTAGTCATTGTTTTATTCAGTTTTAAATTTAAATAATATTATACGACGTAGTTGATAGTTATTACAAAAATCGTTACTTAGCCTTTGACTTTCCGAAATAATATTGCAATTTGTACAAAAAAAGAAAAGGGCTTATTAGGTAACAAGATATTCATATTTCGGTGTGAATCATATTTCTATGGCTTTCTACAATAGTGGCTTTCTATAATAATCTCAAAAAACATTCATCAGGAAGATGGTTTAAAAAATATAAGGCTTATCAAGTGCTCTAATCCAACCAATGGAAAGCACAATGACGCAATCACAATTCATTAAAACACATTCTGAATACAACTCTGTAATTAAGAGGCGACACTGACTCAACTAGAATTCAAATTTTTCCCGTACTGAATTGGACACTGGCTTTATTTCAGAATTTATTATTATATCAAATTAAATTCAAGCCATTTGAAAAATGTGCTGTCGTATTAGTATACGATATCACATTTTTCGAAAGACTTTAATTTCGTACTGAACTAAATAGAACACATGACTACATGTGTTCTATTTTAAAAAAACATTGTGTGTGATATTTTAAAAAACATTGGTACTTATGTGTAAAGTACCAATTGAATACTACGTTTTTTTTTTCTATCGTAAAAATTTGTTTCAAAGTGTTGTCAGTTTTACACACCGTATATCTTCAATTCTCAGTGTATATCTTCAATTTTACTATATTTTTTTTCCAAGGTGATTGATTTGCTTTGACTGTTATGCGGAATCAACCAAAGCCACTTGAGGTTGTATAGACTCTTAAAAAGGGGCGAAGGACCACGGGCAAAGATTGGGGATTTGTGACAACAGATAAGATTTATATTAACGTTGCCCCTAACAACATACAACATACACTCCAAACAAGACCAACGGACCCGCAATTAAGCGGCAAACCCGGAAAGTGAAACACGTGAACCTTCACTGTTCACAGAGTAAACGCGAAGTGGTGCCAAACGCAAATTGCTCGTTATAAAGTTCAAGGCGCGTTGTCCCCGCGCGGCGCTGTTATCACGAGACTGTCGTCGCTTGAGTACCGTTTTAATGTCGCACTCGGTTGACTGTAAAATTTTTAATTGCTTTTATTCATATAGCTAAAAATCAAAACATGCAAGTTTAACAGTCGAATTTAATGTACTATAAAAAAATGTACAGACGGCAGCACATCAAGCTACACATAGACGCATCTTGAGGTCGATTCAGAACCTTACGATAACTTAGTTGTCGACCGATTCGATATCGTACGATTTCTTTTCATTTTAATTGACAACACCCGAATCGAACGTCAAATTGTCGTATTCGACGTCGTATCAAATCCGTTTAACTCAAATGTTCTGAATAGTTCGGAAAGTCTCCTTCGATTCGAGAACGATATCCAGTCGAACGTTTCGGTTAATATATCCAAGACTTTTGAATTGGGGTCCTTGTTCCGTTGCACTGAAAGCGATATTCGAACAAAAGCGTATAGCTCGACGTGCTGTTCAATGTACTTTATTTCTTTTTTTTATTAATAGCCTTGGTTACTTTGCAATAAATGTATATTCTATTCTTGGAATGCCAGGAACACCATTTCATGTTAGTGGTACAGGGCTGTGATGTAATAGCCCCCATATACGGGACGACTTGTCTTCACGGTCTGTCGTTTCAGACTGATTAACTTGAACACCAAGGTAGTAGCGACGGATCGATGCGATTATCGTGACGATCGATCGAAACAAGGAATCGTCTGTACATGCGGGCCTTAAAAGCAATCTGATTCTACCATATAAGAAGAGATCAAAGTGATCTCTAGAGCATTGGAGATTATAAATAGAAGAAGAGAGACTCACTTGTAGCGCGTACGCGGCCGCGGTGTGGGCGCGAGCCGCGGTAAGCGGTGGTCGAAGGTGGCCATCGTGCCGCCCGAGCCCGAACTCGAACCGCGCCCCGAACCACTTGAGCTTTCGGACCAAGTTAACTCCGACGTACTGAAATAAAACGAATTTAATACTTTTCTAAGTGACGCTAAAGACATTAATTGATTGTATTTATCTATCAATTGTTTATAGTATATACTATATCATGTTGATTTAGATTTATCGAAACTACTTTCCAAATTACAGCAGATACAGTTGTTATACCGGTAACGAATTATACCAAATAGTTTGTTTTTTATTATCGGTTCACAAAACAATAGTGGAGTAAAAAAATGTCGTTAAAAACCAAAAACTCAGATCTGCCACAAACACATAGAAAAATACGTAAGTTCTGCTGTTTCTTTCCGTGGCTTAATTGGCAGAGCATCTGGTACGGATTGCATGAGGATGCTGGTTCAACTCCAGCCGGATCGAATCAATTTTTCTTAATATTTTTTTTTCTTAGTAGTAATTTCACAAATAATAGAGTTCATTAACTGATCTAGACCATAACATGGCAACTTTTAAGGCCCCCATATATGGAACGTTTATCATTTCAATCAGTCTGAAACAACGAATCGAAAGTGTTTTGCTTAAATATCAGAGAAGTAGCGACGGATCGTTAAGATTAACGTGACGATCGATCGAAATGCGGAATCGTCTGTGTATGTGTACCTTTAGTCGACAACTTAAAATTAATTACCTAGAGGTTATAGGTGGCAAGCGATAAGGAGTGTGTATATCATTGCTTTCCGTGTAAGTAGACGCATGGATCTCCTGTTGATACAGCTCGTACAATTGAGCCAGCTCCGGTGTAACATCGATGCCCATCTCTGAAGAATAAACAAATAATTCAACCAATAATAATAATAATAACGCACACACTCAACATAGCCCCGCACTAGGGAAACCCTGGGTCGCGGGTGCCATGGACACACAGATAAACAACCACAAATTACACCCAAACTCACGAGAGAAATAAATGTAGGTCATATAAATATTTCGCCCGGCCCGGGAATCGAACCTGGGACCTCTGCGTGGCAGTCCGGCATGGCAACCATTCGGCCACGGAGGCAGTTAAGTTAACCAATAAGTGCAAGGTCTTTATAAAGTGGCCAGATGTATTACTGTACGGCAGGTAACATTGCCAGCCGTTTTTGTGTTCGGTGTCAAGTGTTTTATATCCGTTATATTTGTCTAAATATGAAGATACCACTGAAAGCAAAGGGAATGAATCCTTAACCGTCTCATCCTTTTTAGTCGTTGTTTTCAAAGTTAGTTTTATGTCCGTATTTGACTGTACCTTTCTAGAAAAGGAATTTAATTCCCCTTTCCACCATCGGGGGACTAGACGCAGGGTTCCACGTCTGTTGTAGATATTCCAAGGATTCGCATGTAGCGTTTCGCTTCTACATTTATATGGCGACCGGCTTTGAAGTGGAATTTATTCTCAGAGCTTTCACCTTTTCAAGGCGAGAGGGAATAAGAATTATTTAGGTAGGCTTGCTTCGTTCTCGACCTCATCATTACTTTCGATCAGGAAAAATGTACGTCAAACGTGAAGAAAAAACTAGGATTTATTTTAAAACAATGGTCAACAGAAAGTGACCCATAACCAAATTCCGTCCGTCTTAGAGTGAATACCTAGTATGTGATTTCTATGCAATTTTTTAAGAAAGATGTAAGAAATATGTGATGTAAAATGTAGTAAACGCGATGTTTGTAGTCAGCATTTTAATAAGTCAAATTATACCTCTTTCAGATACTACATTACTTTAATAATATTTTTGAGTAAGAAGTTTATAAGTTTTTCTTTAACAAAAATCAGTAAAAACGAACTATGTGAAAACGCGTGTGCGACCTTTTACTCTAAGGCGACTATACTCTCTTTTTAGAAAAAATCCTCAACACATAGATGGCTTCATGTTCATACAGTGTAAGTATACCTTCGAAAGCGCGACGTTGTCTAGTGATAATCTCATCCGACAGCCGCCTCTGCGCGTCGCGACGCTGCAATGCGAGGTCCCGGCGTCGTAGCTCGTGCGCCCGCGCAGCTCTCTCGCCCTGCAGCGCCAGCTTGTCTGCCTCTAGTTCATGGACGCGGCATACTAAAGCTAGGACTTCACGCTCTGGGCCGCTGTTTATTCGCGCTGGCAGCTCCTGAAACATTGTACAAGTCTTTAACAGAAATTTGTTATATACTCGATGGTTAAGATGACGATTGTCAATCCGCGTCTAGCCCTGTTGTTCAGGGCTGAGGCGGTTTGGTGGGTCTAAAAACTTAACTGCATTATAAATTATCTTCTGACTGAGGTACAACATGATTTTTGCCAGTTGTAAAGCGTTTTGTAAAACGCGTTCTGGAATTTGTAAAGAATATATTACAAACCTATACCACCTAAAGTGCGGTCTCTTAATTCTCACACCGAAACTTCCACTTCTGGGCATGCAGTCAATCTGTTAGCAGCCATAATATAAATTGTTATACTACTCGCGCTTCAAGTGAGGTGGCTTGCTGCGAAAACCCTGTCTGATTGCGACCGGCTTGAAAGGGTTGTAACCCTAACTAGCCGTGAACAGGTTCACGGTAATGAAACGGGAAACTTCCGGTCCACAAAATTTATTAAAGCAGTAAAGTTTAAAGAAAGGACTGTAACAATAAAAAGGTAAATGTAAAAAAACAGGTGCAACAGTATAAAATGCTCCCTACACTTTATTATTAAGGCACTTACCCCTAAATGGGCCGAGTTACTGAATTACAGATATAGGTACACGAAGGCTGTAGACTTATAAATTATTACACATGATTTAGCTTATTAAATGATTATAAACGTAGTAAAGAACCAGAATTAGCGATTATTCGCGATGGAATTTGAAACAGCTTCGACTGTTGTGGCGGTCGAGCTGGGAGTGACCGTGGTACGAAAACAAAATGAGAAAGTGAAGGAAGATGGAACTACTCAAATTTAAAATTTAAATACATGTAAAATAAAAAATGATAGGATACAAGATACAAGCGGAGAGAGGCGATACAAAGAGGTGAGATGACGGTGTAAGGAGGTCTCACGTCACAGGCTTACCTGCTCGAGCTGCGCGCCGCGCAGGCGCACCTGCTCGAGCTGCCGCTCGACGCGGTCCCTCTCGGCGCGGGCCGACTCCTGCTCGCGCTCGACGGCCGCCAGCTCGGCCCAGGCCTGCTCCACGGCCACCTCGGCCTCGGCGCGCTCGCTGCTGCCGCTCGCGCCCGATTGCCCCGTCCCGCCCCTTCGAAACACATCCCCAAGTATCGATTAGACTTGTGCCTGATCGGTCCTTAGAGGGAGCGGTCCTAGTCAGTTCAATCGGTCAACTGAACTAGCCGACCTAGTTCATTTATTTCATCTAGTTCCTTAGTTAGTTAGTTCGTCTTGTCCTTGCTCGGACATTGAACGAACGCTCCAAACTAGTAATTTTATTCACATGAGCTACTACGGACTTCTAGTATTATAACACTGTACTAAATATTAAAAAATCGGCACTATTTGATTTTACTTCATATTTTACAGGTTTAAAGACTGTCATTCTAACTAAATATCGTTTTTTTACAAAATAAGAATTTTAGTTTGAATGGTGTGTTTAAAAATCAATATTTAGGTACAACTATTTCATACACTCGTACACGTAGGCTGATATTATACATACAGATACCTACCAAAAAATATTGCTTTTCTGCAAGCTTGTATATATACATAATGTACGAACTACAACGAACGAGCTGGCAACGTTCAATCGTGCATCCCACTCGAACTTGTACTAAAAGTAATGAAAGATCGCTATTTGTCCTGCATAGAATATGTATAGAATAGAAACGGTGCAATGTTTCTATTCTATAAAAGACAGGTGAACTATCAACGCAGATATTTCCTAGTTCGCACTGAACTAAAAAAAACGACGAACTATTAAAACCGTGCAAGACGAACTAGTTCATGTCGGTCAATGTCGGGAATATATTCCTAATAGTTCACATTTCATGAACAATACAAATACAAGCCCAATACAAACAATACAATCACAAACTAACCGAACTTTTTTCAGTTAGTGCCACAGAAATACAATATTATAGATTGTAAGGATTTCGTGGTCATTCACTACTTTCAGGCTTTTTACCACAGTCAAGTCAAAAAGAAACCATTCTTTTTATTTTCCCGATATTTCGGAACCATTGCAAGCTCCATGGTCACAGGTTGACTGGACGGCGGCAGATGAGTTCAGTTTATATTATTTAATTATTTATTAAACTTTATTGACCACAACACATACAAAAGGCGGACTTAATGCTAAAAGCATTCTCTACCACTCCACCTTTGAGGAAAACGAAATTCACAAATGCGGCAAATTAAATTTGCGATTGTGAGTGCAACCTCGCCAACTAACTACTTTCACAGTTTGGTGAGAAATTGTATTATGTTTTCTTGTAGGTATACCTAGTTTGTATGAAATAAATTAATAAACAAAATATTTAGTTAATAATGTATTAATAACATAAATGTAATAAATATTAGGTACTTCTTCTTTTTTTTTATAGCACCAAGCGACGGCGACGGGACGAACAAGTCGTGCGCCTGTTGGTAAGCGACACCCCCATCCTTATCAGTTTTTTTTATTCTTATCAGTTAAATTACCTATTCCTGCCGCCAAGCAGTAATGTCAGCGTTACTGTGTTCCGGTTTTGAAGGGTAAGGGTATGGTGAAATTACAGGCACGTGCGACTTGTCAACTTATGTCTCAGAGTGACTAGCGCAGTGGCCGTGCGTCTCAGATCTTTGCGAATTAAAGCTCTCAGTGGCACTGCAACTCGACACGTCACTTAACAATAATAATATTATTGTTTTATGTATAATTCTAATAATTCTATCCGTGACCGCACACATGGGCTACAAGTGCTGCATGGACTGTGTTGAGGCACCGCAGTCACATCGAGATTATCATTCCTGAATCCTCATCTACTTATCGTGTCTTTGCAGTGACCTACCTGAGTGCGAAGTCGATTCAGCTCTTGCTGCTCAGCTGTTGCTCTAGATCAGCAATTGCTCCTGCGTGCTATTTTGATTCAAATCAGGATCAGATGGGTTTCCGAGCGAAAAGATGAACCTGATTCCTACTATATCTTTCTAATTTGTGAGCTAAATCAACTATTGTTCCGATTAGAAATGTCAAAAGTTTCCGATCAGCCAGTTGTGAATCGCAATTATGCGCCTCGACTCGGAAAAGACGAGGTTTCCGATCTGGAGAGGGAATCAAAATCAAGCTGCTGAAGGGTGATGAAACCAGGCTTTTTTATTTTGCACATCTATAGTACCGGCACGCTATGATGGCCGTTTTGACAGATTACAATAGTGAGGTCAAATCTCAATTGATTATCGAAAAAAATATAATCAAATGTGAGTCGTCAAAGTCAAAGTCAAAGTCAAAATATTTATTGCTTTCTTGTGTTACATAATGTTTTTAAAATTAAAATAGTATTAACTTGACTCTGTTAGGGCGCCCCAATTAAAAAATATACATTAATAATAAAGTATTTTTAAAACAACAGCTAATAAATTAAACAATGATAATGATAATAATAACATAACATGGTACTTCTGATGCAGAATGGTACAAAAAGGAGTAGGTTGGTAGTCATTCTTCAAAAAACTGCTTCAGGATGTAGTAACATTTTGCCGAATGGTTTAATGATATCAAGTGACGGAATACGCAAACCTAGTGTATGATCCATGACGCAAACCCGAGCGATTGACAGCAGCACCCTCTCCTTATAGCTTCAGTCATTAATTGACAAAAAGCTAATATGACAAAGGCGCCTTTTTCGAGATGTCTGAGTTTGGTTGAGTTTGAGACGAAAAAGTCGTGCGCCTTGTGGTAAGCTCAGTGCTTTAAATCACAAAGATCTGACGAGCACTGCCCGATGCCCTGCGACATAAGTTGACAAGTCCCATGTGCCTGTAATTTCACCAGCACCCTTCAAAACTGGAACACAGTAATGCTGACATTACTGCTCGGCGGCAGAAATAGGTAAGGTGGCAGTACTTCCCTGGACGGACTCTTTCACATGGAGCTCTACTGCTACAAAAAATATATTACTACTAATATATAATACGTAGGAAATTATCTATTACCTATAACTCTGTTGCGTGCTAAGCCTAGATCCAGACAAACTAATAGGCTTGTAGAGACGATTAAATCTTGCCTCCCAGTGAGAAATCGTCGCATGCTGTCTCTCAGCATCCAAAGCCAATCCCAAAAGGTGGCTATCGAGCTCCATGAGTCGTCGCCGAAGACGCATTTGTTGCTTGAATGTGGAAACAATTGCTTCTCTGAGAGATTTGAGATGGGCCGCGTCTTCTGGTGATACTTCTTTGTTTGTTTCTGTGTCTAATTGGAGATCTTCTTTTGTTCTGTGAAAATGACAACAATGAGTGTAATCAATATTTTCTGATGACGTAGTTTGTAAAATCGACTTAGCAAAAAAATATCGTTGTAACGTCTGTAGCTAGCTTAGAGCGTAATATGGTTGAATGCTCTGAAGTAGTTAGGTACACAAACAACCAAGATTTGTATCAGAGACGTATCCAAACGTATCAAATGACAATTACAAAAGTCACAAACCTAATCGACTTCCCAAACATTTTTCTTCGTGTTTATTTTTTATTGTTATAACTTTAAACAAAGATCGGGCAATAAGAAAACAATCGCTTCGATTCTGTTGAATTGGAACCAACGTCTCCCAAGGCCAGAGGTACCTCCCTGAGTGAAGAAAACTCTTTCATAGATTTCTCATAGATAGCGCTACGGCAAAAAAGACGTTAAAAACCAAAAACAAATTTAATATCTGCAACAAACACATGGAAAAATTCGTAAGGCCCGTTGGTTCGTTCCGTGGCTTAGCTGGTATAGCGTCAGGCACGGTTTGCTGGGAGATATTGGTTCGAATCCAACTGAATCGAAGTGAATTTTAACTAAGTGTCCTATCTTTGTTTGTAGTGAAGTAATTTCACAAACAATAATTGAATACCATGGTGGTGAAATATCCTAACGTTCAATAAAACTTACCTAATCCCTTATTATTTTTTTAGACAAAAGTTAGAGACAAAAGTATGAATCAACATGCATAATTATCGGATAACTATCAACGAAATATCGTGATAATTAAGTATATAAAGCGATTAGTAGGAATATATACCTACCTGGATTTATCATCCTTCATCTTGTGCTTCAACCGCGCGATCTCCTCACGAAGGTCGCTGATGACTGTTCGGTATTGAGACAAGTGCATCGGAGTCTTCACCAGCTCTCGTTCAACCTGCAATGATTATAAAAATAAAATCATACTCTTGTAGTAGCCGCCATGCTGAACTGCGCGTGGGACATGTTTGCCATCGTGATGAAAGGGTTTGTCAATCGGTTTAAGGTACTCGCAGATACTAGGAATACGTTTCGTATAACATTTCGAGGAGGCTTCCGTGTCATAGTGTCTAAGGGTCGTATTCTAGAACTCTTCTCAATGCTCAAGTCAGGATTTGAGTATGGTTTAAACCACTCGAAATCATACTCAAGTCCCTGCCATTAGGGTCGTATTTCCAGTGCTTGTGTTGCCAGTGCAATCCTGACTTGAGCATTGAGTAGAGTTCTGGAATACGACCCTAACAGTCATAGTCATAATCTTTATTGCATCAATATTGTAGCATATAAGTCCTTATGAGCTAGTGGTGTTCTCAACTAATGTTGAGAACACCACTAAGGACTTGAGGGCTAATGCCCTGTAAGGGCATTGCAAAAACATAAAAATAAAATTTAAGATGTCAATTAAAATGAATTATTAATAAACGAGATACACAAAATATAAATATAATAAATATTATAGCGTGCGTGCGTCAAATAAAATCAAGATGGTAAATACAAAGTGGTGGCACAAATACCTAAAACTTAATCAGCCCCCGCAGCCTGATCCTATTATGAACACAAAATGTGATCATATGTCAAAAGAGTATAATAGTATAATATCGAAAAGAGTATAATAATATAGTATAATATCACGTGACGCGTGTAAGTCTTTAAAATGATACGAACTAAACGAAATAATTATGTATGAGTGATAAATAGAAGAGTTACAAATAATTTTATAACTCTTCTATTCAAGCATAAAAAAGTTATCGACTAATTTCATTCTGTAGAATTTTTAAATGAAACTCTCTCCTCAAAAGTTGTCATTTTGCAGATGTGGCCTTATTAAGGTGGTTTCTTGAAAACACGCCTTGGTAAGAGGGCCGCCCGAGCGCGCCCGTGCTCGCACGTGTCGGCCTGTTCGGATTCACCGCTGGTCGGCCTTTGCTCTCGATACAAATACGGCGTGAAGCTGCCAGGACGTCACGGGCCTTAGGAACGCACCATTACACCAAAGGTGCGATATAATCGTACAAGGAACTTCGCTACACTCAATACAATTGAGTTTTCAGTATCAGAACCGGATTATTAGTATGTAGGTACTCCATAAAAACGTAAAGTTCCCAATGGACATTGAAGCTGATGAGCTTTTGTCTAACATCATATAATGAACAAAAAATGCCTGATGTTGATAGGCGTCAAAGTCCAGGCTTCAAAACCAACACAACCACGACACCGTTTTGCTTGAAATATGAAGTCAAAAGAAAATTTCAGTTATAATTTCAATGATTTATTAAAACAATGTTATTTTGTTTAAGCTTTATACACAATCGACAGTGTTTTGATGTATGAAAACAATGAATAGACTTAATGACTTAACCCTTTCAAACATAAGTCACGCACAGCGATATTTGTTAAACAATAGACGTACCCTGTTCGTGATGGAGTTGGCCTTCTGCGCATAATGCAACGTCGACCGTGTGGTGTCGCGATGTGAGTGGCCGGGCGCCACGTGTGCCACCATGGCCGTGCGGCACCGTCCGCCCAGCACCTCGCGCAGCAGACGGGTAAGTTTCGAATCCCGGTAGTTCACGTATCTGCACAAAACAGGTGCACATGTACAGGGTGTTACATATGTGCAATAAACACCGGATAAGAAAGGTTTTATTATTGATACAAAGATCGAAAAACACAAAGAATCACAACTTTTTTATAAAAAAACAGACCTCAAAAGTTCATGGAATTACATCTATTTGCCATTTATTGAAATCGGTTACCGGAAAGTCGTGGAATATTTTCTTCAAATTTAAATTGGACCAATACTGAGGTACCCTCTTTCCAATAAAAAAAAAGAATCATCAAAACCGGTTCACAAATGCCGGAGTAATTGCGTAACACACATACAAAAAAGTCGGTTAAAAATTCCTTCGATCTGACTGGACTCGAACCGACGTCCGTTGCCATGCCGGGGCCGCCGCTCTTACCAACTGAGCTACATACCTAGTCAGCAAATCTTCACAAACACACAGAGAAATAACAATAACAAAACTAGTGGAGTGTTTTTACAAAAAAAATATATGAATATCATTGTAGTAAAAACATGATGATACTCAATAAAATCATTGCAGTTAATATAGCTACATCTGTCAGTCTTTTGGTAGTTGTTAAGGTACCTGGTTGAGTGAAGAAACTTTCATAAGTTTCTCACAGGTGCCACTGATGGCAATAAAGCCGTTCTAACTGTCGAAGTCTGACGACATCCGTGATCGGATGGCTTACACACCGGATTTCATGACGTCGCCATCTCTGAGTTCCCGGGTTCGATTCCCTATCTGATCAATATAGAAAAATAACTTTTCTATATTGTTCTATACGTTTAATTTCGTCTCTAAAAAAGTTAATTCTGAAATAAAGCCAGTGACCCCGCCGCTCGACTCAGGCAAATTGAACCGGAAAAATTAGAATTAGAACTGAAGTATCTTAAGACTCTTAAGTTACTTACTTTGGAATCAGAGCGACGTATGTCATGTTGTATAATATTTATTCATTTAAACCCAATTCAAAGATCTCCAACAAGCACACAGAGAAGTTCGTAAGGTCTACTGATTCAGTCTGTAGGTCGGCTGGTAAGAGCGGTGGCCCCGGTGCGTGGCAACAGAAGCCAGTTCTAGTCCAGAAAACCAAAGCATTTTTTTTTATTTGTGTTGTTCGACTTTATATCGACAATAATAACAAACTAGTGGAATATTTTCAAAATATATGAATATCATGGTTAATATTATGATGTTTTACTAAAACATCATAATATTCAATAAAATAAATATTGCAAGTGTGTACATATTTGTAATTACATTTCTTCAATTTATATACAAATCTGTTGCCCCTGTATCACAAAATATTTAATAATGTAATTACAACAACGTAAATCACCTACCTAGCGCCTCCTGACAAAGCCATGATGCAGTTCCCAAGGGCAAGCAAGGAGCGGTTGATGTGTGCCCCTTCCAATCGGCGCGCACGTAACCCCGCGCGTTCAGACCCGGCCAGGTCTATAAGGAATAAGCGCCCGCGTTGTGTGCCACCTTCGACTTGGCTAGATACTGTTACGCTGTGGGAAAACATATTTTCCTTAAAAAAAAAATAAACACACATACATACTCGTATACTTCAAGCCCTTTTCCCATCGAGGTTAGGCAGAGACAGCAACCTTCCACTTCTATTTCTAATTTAACCTTCCCCCGCCACACGTGCATTGAATTGCCTCATGTGTAAGCCTTGTGTAAACGTGCATCCTGAGCGAATCCACTAGTTTGCCTTGACGTTTAGTATAGAATCTTAAAGAAACTTATTATAACAGTGCAGTGTAGATGGACGTTGCTAATTTCGCACTTTTCACTAGACTGGCTTATTGGCTTGGCTTTGTGGAAAGACTCGTCAATTGGCCCCATGTAAATGGGCCATAAGTGACGAGTGGAACAAGTCGTGCGCTTGGTGGCATCACAAGAACAAGTGACACACATATCAATAGCACTTGCAGTACCACTCAGAGTTTTAAATTGCAAATATTTGAAGGGCACTGCCACTGCGCCCATCACAAAAACCTCATCGACACACATCAGTGCTTTCATACATGCCCGTCAGTTTAGGGTACTCTTGACCACGCTTTTAGGACGTCCAACTTGGTTATCGTAAATTCGCGTTGGTTGGCCCTTACCAATTTTCTTGCTCAAAC